AAACCCTAAAGCAACTATCTGGGGGTGTGGGGGAAAGCTAATAAGCTGACAGAAGAGATAAATGCCATTATAAAAAGGAACTCAAGTAATGTAAATTATAGAGAAGTAGAAAAAAATTTTTTTAAATAGCACATGGAATAAACAGAAAATAAATAGCAGGGTATTCTATTTAAACCCAGCCATATTAATAATTGTATTAAACACAAATGTTTATCAGATTGGATAAAAAAAGCAAGGCAGAAAGAAATCCAGTTTAAATATAAAGACATAAATAAGTGTCGCAGGTTCGATTCCCAGTCAGGGTACATGCCTGGGTTGCAGGCCACAGCCTCCAGCAACCACACATTGATGTTTCTCTCTCTCTCTTCCTCCCTCCCTTCCTTCTCTAAAAATAATAAATAAATTACAAATCTTAAAAAAAAAAGACATAAATAGGCATACCATAAACAATGAAAAAAGATAAACTATGCAAACACTAATCAAAAGAAAGCTGGAGTCACTATCGTAATATCAGAAAATACAGACTCCAGGATGATTATTAACAAGGATAAAAAGGGGCACTTCATAATCATAAAGGAATCAGTTCATCAAGAGTGCTTAATAGTCTTAAGAGTTTATGTACCTAATTAAAAAAATTCAAAATATATGAAGCCAAAACTGATAGAAATAAAGAAGAAATTGAAAAATTATAGTTGGAAATTTCAATACCCCCTTTTGTTAATAAAATAAGTAGACAGAAAATGAGAGAGGATACAGAAACCTTGAATAGCATTATGAATCAACTTGGCCTAACTGACAATCGAGAACACTCCACCCAACAGCAGCAAAATACACATTCAAGTATACACAGAACATTTACCAAGAGAGATCATACTGTAGGCCATCAAGTAAGTTACAACAAATTTAAAAGCATTCAAATCATACAAATTATGTTCTGTGACTAAACCATAAATCCACATCAAAAGATATTTGGAAAATCCTTGAATATTTAGAATTATATAGTGCTTTGGTAATATATGAGTCAAAGAAAAAAGTACTTTTGCACTAAAAAAAGAAACTATAACATACTAAAATTTGTGTGAAATAGTTAAAGCAGTCTTTGAAGGAAAATTATAGCACTAAATATCTATATTATAAAGGAAGAAAGGTCTCAAAATCAATGACCTAATCTTCCACCTTAAGAAATTAGTGAACTTAAAATCAGAAATCAATGAAACAGAAACAGAAATAGAGAAAAATCAATGATATCAAAAGTAGGTTCTTTGAAGAGATCAATAAAATGTACAAAGCCTCTGTCCAGATGCATCAGAAATAAAAAAAAAGACACAAAATACAAGTAACAGTATTGGGGACACAGGGGATCTATAAAATATGCCCACATTTTCTGTGATACTTCCACCTCCATGTGTTGGTGCCTTGTTTCTCTCCTTTTGACTATGGGCTTCACTTGAGATTTGCTTCTAGCAAACAGAATAAAGCAGAGTAAGTATATGTACTGAATTTTTCAGACCATAAGAAGCACCTAGGTTTTAGAGGAGGAAACCAGGAAAAAAAATTTTGAAGCAAAAAATGTGGTAAAATATTTAATAACATAAATAACACAGGCTGCTGCCACCCCCCGCTCCCCACCCCCACAGCGAGCCTGGTAAGCTACATTTGGACTATAAGACGCACCCCCTTTCCTCCCAAATTTGGGGGAAAGGTGTGTATTTAGTCTGAAAAATACAGTAACTTCAGACACTAGGGGAGAAAAGCACTGTGCAGCTTTCTGACTGATCTCCCTGTCCTATCACTCACTAGTTAGTTGGTAGAAGCTAGCTGCCATGTGTCCTTGACAGTCAGCAACACTATGGAGGTCTCTGTGGTGTGGAACTGGGGCCTCCTAATCAAAGCAGTAAAAAACTGAAAGAAAAAGAAAAACAAAAACAAAACAGAACTTAGGCCTCCAGCCAATGGCTATGTGAATAAGCAATTATGGAAGCAAATCTAGTCAACTCTTTAGATAAATGACATCTTGGCCAATATCGTCTTCATGAAAAACACTGATCCAAAACCATCGGTGAAGTCACTTCCAAATTTCTGATCCACAAAAATGTAAAATAATAAATTTGTTGCTTTAAGCCATTAAGGTTTGGAATAATTAGTTATGCAGCAAAAGATAACCAAAGAGCATATAAAGAGCACCATTACAGACAGACCCTAAAAACATTAAAGTGATTAAGAGGGTAAGTAGTTTTGAAGCCAATAATTTTAAAAACCTAGATGAACAAATTCCTTGATGGGAACAAACTATCAAAGCTCACTCAAGAGGAAAGAACAACCTGATAACAGAGAAAAACCTCTCTTTTAATCATACATGAATCACTCACGCAAAGGATCAACGAGTTCCACAGAGAAAAATTTTTACAAACAATACTGTTTAATCACAATGCAATAAAACTAAAAATTAGTAATAAAATTAAAAAATCACAAAACACTTTCCATGATAAACTTTTAAAATCTTCTATTAAATAACTCCTAGGTGCAGGGCAACTAAAATGTAAAATTATGTAAGTTCTGAAAAATGATAAATCACTACATGTCAGCATCCATAGGATAATTTTAACATGGTGACAAGAAGTGCAAAGCCTTAAAAGTTTGTATCAATAAAAATGTGCTCTCACTAGCCAAATCAGGGACAATGTAAGCATCAAAGTAAGGGAGGTAATGATTATAACCTATTAAATAAATTATTTTTAAAATCAAGGAGTCCATTCTGATATAAATTGGAAAGAAGGAAAGCTACTCCTTATCATAGAATGCCAATTAATACAGAAGAAATGATGGAGTTAGAAAATCATTTGGCGGCCATTGCAGTATTAACTGACTCAAACAAGAGTCAATGGATGCTACACCAAGGGTGTGTGTATGCAAGTTTGATGCCACACTGTAACTCCCTAAAGAGTACTTATTAATTACTAAGGTATATCCGGCAGATGCCACCATAAGCAGGTGACCAAAAGTAACAATATTAACAACTAGACCCACTGATGTCATATGCCTTGAAAAGAAAACAACACTGTTTCGGGGTATCTCTGCCAAATTGCACAATCTGAATTTAATGATGAACCACCATCAGTCAAACCCAAATTGGGGGCCATTGTACCTAATAACCGACCTACAATCTTAAAAAATGTCAAATGTGCCCTGGCTGGTGTCACTCAGTGGATTGAGCCCGGGCTGCGAACCAAAGTGTCCCAGGTTCCATTCCCAGTCAGGGTACATGCCTGGGTTGCAGGCCATGACCCCCAGCAACCACACATTGATGTTTCTCTCTCTCTCTCTCTCTCCCTAGCTTCCCTCTCTGAAAATAAATAAATAAAATCTAAAAACAAAAAACAAAAGATCTCCTGAAACTGACATTAAAAAAAATGTCAAGTTTATGAAAAACAAGGGAAGACTAAAACTATTTCATGTTAGAGGCATAGGACAGCTAAATGTAACGCAATATCTTATATCATCAGGTGATAGGGGGCTAAAATAATGTAACTGAGACATTTAAAAAATTGAAAACGGGCTCCAGATTATATCATGATCAAATATATTGATTTTGCCTGACGGGTGTGGCTCAGTTGGCTAGGCATCTTCCTGCAAAGCAAAAAGTCCCTGGTTTCATTCCTGGTCAGGCAGGGCACATGGCTGGGTTGCAGGTTTGGTCCGTGGTCAGGGTATGTAACAAGGGGCAACCTGTTGATGTTTCTTTCCCTCTCTCTCTCCCCTGTTCCCTCTAAAAATAGATAGTCTTTTTTTAAAAATCTTGATTTTGATGTGGTTATGTATGTATGTGTCATTGTTCTCATGAAATATATTGGAAGTATTTACATATAAAGGAGCACTATGTCCGCAACTTAATCTCAAACTGTTCAGCCCCTAGCATTCTTAGGGACAGGTAAAAGTTGCATTTAGCAAGTGATTTTGATAATGCACTCAATATTTTTGAGAGGTTATGATGTGTTTTAAGAAGTCTTGAAAACACACAGTAATTCCTAGGCGACAGCCCCAATCCTCAAAAAATACTGTGCTGGGAAGGGGGCACGATGTTGAGTGTAATGGTCAGGTAACAAAGCCTGTACTCAAAATTCTAACCTAAGGTGCCTTGCTGCAAATGCAAAGGGGAAAAATTCAGGCGTGAAATCAGCCTAAGTTTAAGGGGTTCTGTTGTGATCATGGACATGGAACTTAACCTCTCCATTTTCCCATGCTTTGATTTATTCAACTATGAGACTAGAATAGTGATTTTTTTGAAAAAATTTCTCCCTCAAAAGGCTGAGGATTACATGAGATAGTGTACTTGGAAATCGCTTTGTAAACTTCTAAGCCTTACACGTGTGTTACCATATGTAATAACTCCACAAGAGAGGTTACTTGGAATCGGCAAACCTAATTGTGTTGTCAAAATTTCCTACAAAACACACAACTAGATGTGGTCAGTTACGTTTGACTTGATAACACGCCAAAATGGTTTTTCCTCAAAATGTTCTTTCTACAGGAAACACTAATATAATAATTAGCAGGGATTCCCACGAACGGCCACCAACCTTCGTGGGCGTGGGCGGTGTGAAAATCGGTAGGCAGAAAATTCCAAAACGGAAAAAGAACAGTTTAAACGTGGGACAGACGCTGCATCTCTTTAGAAGCAACTGAGAGAGGGGAGGGGAAAGGGGCGTGACTCTCCCCTGCGCCCCGCCCCGAGCGCGGCTCGCCGAGCGAGGCTCGCCGCGCGCCCGAAGCCGCCCAGCGACCCTGACTCAGGCGCGGCGGCGGGGGGGCGAGGAACGGTTTCCAAAAACGGCGGCGGTTCTCAAACCTCCCGTATCCAGTCTCCGAGGAATCGTTAAGTGTTACCGCTCTCAATCCCCATTAGTCAGGGCTCCTAAACCCCTCTGGTCACAGGCTCCCAGGGGCGGAGCTGCGCCCCGCGAGGGAGGCTCTCCTAGCGAGACAACAGCACTGGCGAGTACCTGAGCCGTAATGAATCCTTCATACACGGTTTTCGCTCGGTTCTGGGGCAGAAGCAAGGGGCACTGGTGCAACAGGCTCGCTTCCGTTTCCTCCATGGCTTGCGGTCCTTGGAGCCTCGGGAGGCCTAGGAGCAGCCGGACAGGCACTGCACATGCGTAGTCCCGGCTGCGTTGAGAGGCGGAAACCCGGGCATTGGCGGGAAAACGCCTCGAGGCTTCCGGGGCGGAAATGAAGGTCTAGTTCTGGCGGGACCCACCTGGGCTGGAGCCCCACCAGAATAGATATGACTCTTGAGGAGGCAGCATTGGCCCCCAGCAGGAGGCGGGAGTCAAGATTGTGTTCAGCTTCGCAGATCTGACTGAAAAAGGTCTTTCAATCCTGATTATTTGATTTTGATTTTGTTACGTTTTATTGAAATGCAACTACAACTTTGGAGTTGCATTTTCTTCCAGTATATGAAGTTTTTTACAAACAGAGTGTTATGGTGCTTCTTTTACTTGAACCTGCCTTACCTCACCTTTTCACTATTATCAGTCTCCTGTTACCATGCCCCACAGCAGGGGTCCCCAACCTCCCACAGCAGACCTTTACACCTTTACGGTCCAAGCCTGTTAGGAGCTGGGCACACAGAAGGAAGTGACCATGAATGTAGTGCCTTTGGATCATCCCGAAACCATACCCCACATTTCGGTCTAAGGAAAAAATTTGTTCCACCGAGGCGGTTGGTCCCTAGTGCCAAAAAGGTTGGGGACCACTGCTCTGCAGGGTCTCCCATACGCCTTCAGCATACAGAATAATATGTTATCCTGTCCATTATAACAGAATGCCATGTATTACATTCCTTTCATTATATCATATACCGTATATTACAGTTCTGTGGCTTAACAAATGTAAAGCATCTTAGCAGATGTTTTTGTTTTTGAGATACACACAAACATGCATACACTGATCCAGTTTCAAGTTAACACCGGACTGAGTTCTGATACACTGCACTCACAAATATCTAAGGCAAAACGTGAGGAAGTATTACTGATGGACTTAATGAACCAAAGTTAGTTTTTCTTTGACCATACTTTCTATACATTTTTCTAACTTAGCAGTGGTAATCATCCATTCCCTTTCACTGAGACTTAATTAAATAAGGAACTTCTTGATATTTACTGCATGGTTATTTAATATTTCAATCTATGCATCACATTTTTGAGCCCTGGTATTTGCAAAACATCATCTTAATATGCCAAGGCTGTGCAAAGATACATAAAATACACCCCCTCGCATCTTTATTACCTTCAAAATGGAATCAGACGTCTGGAAGATTCTTAAAGTTTAGCAAGAATTGTCACAATATTCTGTGTGCTTAAGGATAAACAGGAATGCTACAGTAGTTAAATATAACTTACACTGAAGCACTGGTTCTCAGAATGCGATTCCAGAACCAGCAGCATCGCCATCACCTGGGAACATTATAGAAATGCAAATTTTCACCCCTGTATCTCAGACCTAGAGAATCCCAAACTCGGAGTGAGACCCCACCATCTGTGTTTAACAAGCCCCTCGAGGTGATTATGATGCACACTGAAGTTTTTCTTGATGAAACCTCTGACCTGTTTTCAAAGTCCTCATAGGGTATCTCTTTGGAAACCTTTTTTTTTTTTAAGATTTTATTTATTTATTTTTAGAGAGGGAAGGGAGAGAGATAGAGAGAGAGAGAGAAACATCAATGTGTGGTTGCTGGGGGTTATGGCCTGCAACCCAGGCATGTACCCTGGCTGGGAATCGAACCTGGGACACTTTGGTTCCCAGCCCGCGCTCCATCCACTTAGCTACACCAGCCAGGGCCGGAAACCTTTTTTATCTGCTGAAAATTATTGCTCTCACTAATCATAAGTATATTTTATGGTGCATTGTAAATGCCCATTAACTATTTACTAAATTAAATATCCATCAGTCCTCTAGACAAAATAAAAGCAAGTATTTTAAGAATTCAAAAGATATTTGAGTTGGTCCCCATTTATGATATCTTAATAATCAGGTTATATAGCACAATTATAGACTTTACAGGATATATTTAATTATAATACAATCGACATGTGTAAAACACTAACATATTTCATTTTCATTGTAGTGCTCTTTAAGTAGATATTTTTCATAATGTCTATTTTGTACACAAGAAATCTGAGATTCGGAGATAATCAAATTGTTCAAGAGAGTAACTTAAGTGACCTGTAAAATGAGGAGTAACATAAAATCTTCTAAATTTTAGTTTCACTAATCTTTTCATTAAAGTATGACAGAGATGGACTGCCCATCATGAAACTCAGGTGAAGTTAATTTAAAGTTGTTAATGACTCATTTTAACAATGAGGCTAAGTATTTAACTTTGAAAGTTTAATAACAGATTTCCCAACATAATCCATTCCTTCTTAATATAATCATAGCATTTTCACCCTAAAATCCACATATTGTGATAAAGATAGCCTAAAAACATTTTGTCAATAGCTTTCTAAGGAGCTGAAGATTTTAAATGAAAGCAACCTTATATATTTCATACCCTGACACCCTCATTATATAAATTAAGGAAATAAAGTCCAGAAAAGGAAAGTGATTTTCTCAAAGTGCTAGCTTTGTTTGTGTGTGTGTACATATATAAATACGAATATACAGAGAGACCACACTAATACTGTACTGAGGACGCCTAATTAGGCCAGTCTCCAAACCTACAATTCCCTATCCTACACTGAGCTTTTAGTTAACTAACTAAATGTCCTTGGCTTTATAGACCTGAAAGCTTCTGGAATCTTCTTAAATAGCAGTTTAGTCTTCCATGAACAGATATGTACCCCTGTCTAGAGAGCCTATCTTCATCACACTCATTGGCCAACCTTCCCCCCACACACAACTCACACCATGGATATACTGAACTGTGTATCTAACAGCCAAAGACAGTTGGATCCTTTCATCTGATTCTATCTTATTTGACTTAAAGATTTTTACAAAATTTGTTGCTAGGTACTGTCTTAATCCTAAAAAAAGGCATATCCAAATCACCTTTCATAACAGTTGAATTTGTAAATGAGCATTCTCTTTGATAAGGTCTATAATCTAAGAAATACAACTCCCAGGAAACAAGATGAGATACCATGTAAGGATTTTTTTTTAAATTTAGAATATGTGTGTATATATTAGTTCTATTACAGTTGTCCCATTTTTCCCCCACTGCTGTCTCCTGCCCAGACCACTCCCACAGTCAGTCCCCACCCTGTTTTCCATGTCCATAGGTCATTTATATTTGTTCTTTAACAAGACCCTTCCCTTTCTTTCCCTTTTTATCTCCCTACTCCCTTCTGATCCCTATCAGTGTGTTCCTTGTTTCCATGCCTCTGGTTCTATTTTGTTCATTACTTAATTCAGTGATACAGCCATTATCTTTAGGTGTTCAAGATTGAGTGATGGCTACTCACTACTGTCATCAGTTAGGAAATGATTACCATAATCCAGAGAAGATGCTAAAATATAATTATGAGAAATGATATTAAGGAGGTGGAAATCCTGCCTCTCATCCCTCCACCTGCTCTTCATCCAGGTGTAACTATTGGGGTGCCTCATTACTCTTTACTGGTCCATCTTCTCTATATACCATCTCCTCTCAGTAATCCCATCTAGTCTATGAATATTACCTGTATTTTGCTGTATATAATGCACACCCATGGTTTAGTGCTACCTGTGTATAGTGCACATTCTTATTTTTCCCTCAAAAATTTCTGTAACACATTGCACATTATACATGGCAAAATATGGTAAATGTCAACCATGTACTGATGACTTCTAAATTTATCTTATCTCACCCTTCAGACTTGCATAACTATGTACTACATGATATATCCACTTTAGATGTCTAATTGTCATTTCAAATTGTTTGTGCCAAAATGACCATTTTATAATTTCTAAAGAAAAAATTGACTTAGGCAATAAGCATCAATGAATGCTTAAACCATGATAGGAAAGTTTATGGTGAAGTAAATATTCACACAATGCAAAAATTATCAACTTTATAACAGTAGAATCAGGCTATATCACCACCTGGTGCCTCTTTAGTTAAAAGCTGGACACCCATAATTAAGTGTCAACTGATGTGTTGCAATAAGTACAACACCAAAAATGTTTGACATAAATCTAATCAATCTTATGGATGTAACTTCTAGTTTACTGGTAAAACAGGTATAGAGGAACAAGCTAAATGACATCAGAAGGACAATCTGGCAAATCCAGAACATCAAGTATAACATAGGGCAAATGAACTAATTTATTTATCCAGTTGATGGCATGGGAAAAAAAAAGCAGAAGGTAAAAGGAGTGTTTAAGCTTCAAAAGAGACTTAAGAAACATTAACACTCAAGCAATATGAAATTTTGAATATTGATTTGAACAAACCAATTGTGCAGGCACATGCAGTGATCCTGGGAAATAGAGATTTCTGGATTGGTGAAGTTTTGATAATGGCACAAACACCCAAGACCAATAACAATAAAGAGAAAATTCATATATTTAATATACAATATGTTAAAATGTAAGTTCTTATGAAACCTTTATGTAGAGATGACCATAGATCAGTGGTTCTCAACCAAGGGCAATTTTGACACCCAGGGTACATTTGGCAATATCTATCACAAAGAGGAGTGAGTAGGATGCTACTGGAATTTAGTGGGTAGATGCTAAGATGCTCCTAAGCAATCCACAGAACAGCCCCACATAACAAAAAGTATTCCACCCAAAATCTCGTAGTGCTGAGGTTAAGAAATCTCACAATAGATCTCACAATCAATCGTCTACACAAAGAAGATAGAAACTAATGTTGATTTTTTTCCTTTGACCTTGGCATAGTTTCTGGTACATGGTAAGAGCATATATTTGATCATTCCTTTTATGTTCTGCAAGCTTCTAGATTTTTGTAAAAGTGGGGGAGAGTCAAAGACAGAAATATTGTTTGCAGGGCTGAAACTTAGAAGACAGGTCTTAGAAGGATTTATAAGTATACATCATTAGTATTTAGGTGGTAATAGAAACCTTAGGAATGAATAAGAACTTCTATAGCACTGGTCCATGACCCTCATTGTGGATTAGTCACTTGAGCAGT